GTGAGAGCAGATTGAAAGCTCATATAACATTTGGTAAAAACAAAATGGACTGCATATTGAAGTGATTAGATGAAACTTTCACAACGCCCTGTGAGGCTGAAAGATACAGAAAATTAGAGTTCCTACCCTTTAGCTCATAATCTTGGTTAGCTCATAACCAAATTAACTAGCAAAGAAAGGCATGAAATATACAGAGCAACTGGGAGGTTCATTGTGCGGCAACAGATTAAGGCATAATAACATGTTACCTGACTCACTGTACAGACAAAAATGTTGATTTAACACAAGGATCAAAAGAAACCATTTCGGATCAGCAAGGGGAACACTAGAAGAAAATAGCATGTGTGTCGAGGATTAAGATTGCTAGTACCTTTTCTGCTGCAACCACAGCCATAAGGCGTCCAAGGATCTGTTGGTCAGATAATCTTGCAAATCGGACCAGGGCACATATACTTTGAATCAAACGCTCAATATAAAGGTGCACAGCAGGAAGAGTATGAAGGCTCATTCATCTATTCATGATGTACAAAGCTCTTTAAATACAAAGGATGGACCAAGAATTACTCCTAAATTATAGGATAATGAGCTGTAATTGACAAACTAAAGATACACCAAAATCTGCACAAATAAAGGAATAAAATAACAGTACAAATAAAGGAAACAAAATAACTAAGGAGATTCCCCAATACAATATACCTATCATCTGATGCATTTAGCTCCAAAACGGCCTCTTTATAGTTTGGTCCTAAAAGCTCATGAGCAAGAGCCAATATACTAGTGGTTTTGCCAGTACCAGGAGGACCCTGCAGAAAGTTTTATATAGAACTAAATATCCCTTTGCCAATTCAATGTGACACCAAAGGGACAAACATTTCAGAGTCTGGAAGTCCTAAATTAGATATGCATTTGAGTAAAAATGGTCAACTTCCAGGAAAACTACTTTGTTTTTATACATTCTCATCAATCAACACATTAAAACTCAATGTTACTCAAGGATACAACTCAGGAATCATAAAAGATGGTATGTGAAACCAAAAGTCCATTCTTCCAAAAATAGAGTACGCACAAGAGGTAAAAGAATCAGTATCCAACATCTGGTATAAGCTAACACAAAAGACAATAGTTCTTTGCAAATATGTGTACATATAACTTTGAAATTCCAAGTACTATTGAGCAAGGACCATCAAGATCTACACAAGAAAAGGAATAAGGAATGCTTCATATTTAGGACTTATTGACCTCAAGAGAATAAAATTGAGGTTGCAGTAGCAGAACTATAATCCAGAAAAAGTCAAACACATTGTATGGAGCTTTTGGGCCATGTATGAGCTTCAATGGCCACTTCTGAAACACTAAATTTCCCACTGACTATTTCTTATAGCATGACCTGCCGGAAAAAAGCCTCCTTTCCCAGCAGGCTCCCAAGCAATAAACTCCTTTCAACAGTTTTGCAACACTGTTGATATCTCAATCAGAACAACTTTGTTTGAGGATTAAACTCCAATTGTAACCAGATTTACATTGTAGAATAGTGACTTGCAGTAAGAGCAAAGATCTCAGGATTCTGCTTCTTAGAGGGATGTGCGCAAACAAACAAAGTCAAGCCAAAATTTAATCTTTTCCCAATTTACCACTTTTTATTTGTACTGTTTCTGAGAAATCAGGCCAGTGATTCCTAATGCACTTGCAGATCCTACACCATACATGGAACTTACTGATTGTGCACCAGAATGCCAGCTCCCTATACTTCACTTGTACCAGCTTTATCCAATGCTACTGTTCTTCTTTGAATATCTCCATAACCATTTTCATTATTAGAATTTCACTATAGTTCAAGCTTGTAAACAATGGCAGAACCAGAAATTTATACAATGGGATACAAAAAAATCTACAACTGTCATAGTTGGAATTTGAACCTAAGGCCTAAAGCAATTCTGAACCTCCTTCACAACTACATTTGATTTTTTTTCATAACAGTGCACATATAACAAAAAGAAGACCGTTTTCATTCTTTTTATATTGTGTAATTTTTCGATGAAGGAGGTTCAATCCCTTCACTCTACCTAGTATCCATAATAGTAAAAGTCAGAAATTGAAATATTGTACAATAAACTAAGCAGTTTTTGTGGAAAGCAACAAATATCTCTTGCATTAAATAACTTACAAGCAACACACAGTGAATTTGGTTTTGTCAACCAAGAGTGTTTTCGAGGTTGTAAGGCTCACATCTCTTTCATGTAATTATTCATCTTTAGACCCCCCCCCCCCCCCTCCAATGAGGCCATTCTCCTTTGCTGAATGCTAGTATTAGTATGATCATTTATTTAAGCACGTGTTTTAACAAGATTATAATGATCGTCATATCTGTTTATGGCGAAAATCATATCTTATTTAGTACGCTATTACATCTTCACTTTATTATTTGCATATGACTTACATATTGTTAAATATTTATATAGTATTCAAATTCAAATTTAAAAATCTTATCAATTAAAGTTACTATGAGACAAAATTCAACTTTAACGTCTTATCTTTCAAACGATTAAAAGACAATAATATTTTTTTTAAATATTATCAAATTGTACGGTTTACCACTCTAAAAATTAATAATCAATAAACTCCATCAATAATGTAATTCGAAATGTTACTCCTCATGAGTAAATATAAAATTGCTTTCAAATAGCAAAATAACAAAAGTTCGATAATTTTGAGAGACATAGAACTAAAATATGAAAAAAAATGTTAGATGTTCCTAAAGATGTAAATTTTGGCTATTCCAATGATACTCATTTTTTGATGTTCCCAATTAGTAAATATGTGATACTTTGACTCATTATTTTGAGTTATTCTCAATCTTAGATGAATAAAACTTTAATCATTCATTTGTTAGAGAAATTTGACAAGATTCTTCCTATGATCTTGCTAAATATATCAATATTAATTATTTTCAAGAGCTTATATTTTTTTTTAATTTTTATGTTATAATTTAAATCTATTATTTAATTTTAATTTTATAATTATTTATATAGACTCCTAAAATTAGTAAGAATTAAAAAAATGAATAGAGGAAAAGCTATTTAGTGCCCCAAAGTTATTCTTTCTTAACCCTAAACGTTATTTTTCCATTTCTAAAAGTTTACATGAAAGAAAAATCCTTGCACTTTTTGGTTTTCAGAAATTTTAAAAACTTTTTAGCTTCTATAAAGCTCTTTATCATAAGAGTGGAAAATTCCCTATATCCATATAATACTAACTGTCATAAATTTTGTTAAAGCTTTTATATAATCGGAAGCGATGACGGTTTATTTTAAGCAAGGAAAGCGGCAACCGTGGGAAATATCGAAATTCTTAGGTTTTCTTCGTTTGTAGTTCTGACTCTCTTTTTTCTACTGCTTGTTATCCTTTGCTATACGAACAAACTGATAAAGGAGTCCTTTGTAGGAATTCTTCATTGGTTCTTTCTGTCCTCTGTCAGTTTCTAGAATTAACTTTGTTTGAAAGAGCATTTAAAATTGTTGGAGTAGATTGGAAGGATAGTCAAATCTGAAGGTACCCGTGGACTGGAGGATTGCTTTTGGAGGTATATTCTAAAAGGGTTCATGTTAATTTATTTATCATTTTTCAATGGATAAATCATGGATTGAAAAGCCACGGAACACAAATGAATACTAGCTTTGTTTGGATAAATTTCTTGATTTTGCATTTAAGAATGCGGCTGTGGAAGATACAATTAGATGCCCATGTCCTAAATGTGGCTTTGGCAAGTGGCAAACTAGAGAGATAGTGCAGGATCATTTGATTTGCAAGTTATTCCCTCAAAATTATGTTATTTGGAATCTTCACGGTGAGAAACAGGTAGTAGCGCCTTCTGGAGATAGAGACGTTATGCAAGAGATGTTTCACCCAAAAAATCCAATAGAAACAATGCTTAATGATGCATTTGGGTACGATAGGCACCAAGCGGCTGATGTAGGGATATCTCAACCATTGAACTCAAATGAAATATCAAATGAGGCGCATAGGGAGGATACCGGCGACTTTCATGATTTTCTCAAAGATGGAAGTAAGACACTGCATGAAGGGAGCAAGTATACAAAGCTAGAATTTTTAATAAAATTATATCATATAAAGGTCTATTATGGATTAAGTGACAAGGTTATGACTATGATAGTAGATTTGTTGAGAGATGCATTTGAAGATGCAAAGATACCGCCTTCTTTTTATGAGGCTAAAAAAACCATTAGCAAACTTGGCCTTGACTATATCAAGTACCTGCATGTCCAAATAATTGTATGCAACTGGGAAGGCGATTCAGAATTGGAAGCATGTAAGCATTGTGGTACATCTAAATGGAATCCTAACAAGAAAAAAAAAGCAAGCTGCAAAGGTTTTGCATTATTTTCCATTGAAATCAAGGTTGCAACGATTATTTATGTGTTGTAAGACTGCAGAACATAGATGGCATGCTTCAGGCAATAATGCTGATGGGTTGATGAGTCATCCAAGGGATGGTGAAGCATGGAAGATATTTGATCGGACTCATTCTGGATTTGCTTCGGATCCTCGAGACGTTCGCTTAGGCCTTGCTAGTGATGGTTTCAGTCCTTTTGGAACAAAGAGTACTACTTATAGTATTTGGCCAGTCTTCTTGATTCCATATAATCTTCCTCCTTGGATCACTACAACATTTTAGGCCTATAACCACACTTATTTTAGGTTACGCTTAGAAAGTGTAGCCAATAATATCTATGAGACCGCTTTTTAGGCGTGACCTTTGATTAGAGTCTTTGGCCACGGGTTTTAAAGCAACGCTTACAAAACGTTTTTAAAAAGTTTAAAGACTACGTTTTTTAATCGTTGCCGAATCATAATATTTTTGGCCACACTAATTAATTATATGACAACATTTTTTCAGCGGTACTAAATTGTCATACTAAATGTTACACTTTATAAGTATACCCTAAAGTTTCCTATACAAAATTTACCCTAAAAAGTTTTCCCCCAATATTACGCGTGCGGCTATTCTCCCCAATTCTAAAAAACAGTCCGTAGAAAGTACCTTTTAGGAATAAGCCAAAAAATAAATTAAAACCTAGTATTCAATCTTTTCCCAATCTCAGGTCCAAGACGCAAATACCTTCATCTCTTTCTGCAAATTCTTCCAACCTCCCATTGAGTATGACCAATCATCTTCCCTATTTTATTTAGACTTAATACTCAAAATTATGCATATATAATCCATCTGATTGAGAATATTTATTTTATTTCTTTTTTGATATATGATGCATTTGATTTTAGTTGATTATGGCAGAGGGGACAAGAAGATTGTCAATGGCAAACACTTCAATCACTCCTTTAGGAATGTAAGTTTCCTGAGTCAAACTTTTGATTTTGCAGGTTTTCATAGTTTGTTTTCGTTTAGGTTTTTAAATTTTCTCTCTTTTTTTTTTTTAAATTTATTAATGGGGTCAAAAGAAAGTAGTTTTTGGTGTTATATGAAGTTTGGGTATCTTTGTACACACACACACACAGAGTTTTCAACTTTTTTTTTTTATTTCAGATTTTTGGGCTGAAAAGAAGTACTAATATTTAAATTGAATTTTTGGGTATCAAAGTTTTCAACTTTTTCCTAATTTCGAATTCTTGAACTGAATGAAACTATTTTTTTGCGTAATTTAGGTATCAAAATTTTTAACCTTTTTCTCATATTCATGGTTTCATGTTTATTATTTTTCCAATTCCTTTGAATACTGATGGGAATTTGATCCCTATGTTAGTATGATTATGAGATACTGAAGGGTATCTATTTTGAATTTTTATTTTTAAATTAGTCAATGAAGCTGATTAATTGGTGGATTTTGGACTAATAAGAATGTATTCAGTTGAGTAATATCTTAACTCCTTGCCTAAAGAAAATTATATTACATCATGTCTTTGTTGTGATAATCCTATTAATTTTACTTCTTTTGTCGAAGAAGATTAGTCAACGCTCGAGAAGATCTGTGGTGGACGTGAAGTTGAGTTTGGCTTAGCATAAGTGTCATGTTTAAGTAAGAAAGTCTTATCATTTTACAACACATTATTTTGAAAACTTACTCTTGACATTTAGCATTTATTTGTACAATATAGTTAATACTTAATTATTATTATTATATATTTACTTTTAGGAATTCAAATGTTCCTAATCCAAGCTAAGTAATAGTAAGTCATGCTGCAAACGAAGATTTTATTAGCTACTCAAGTTGCAATAGTAAGTTGTGCTGCAAGCTAAGATTTTATTATTATATTTCCATTCTCTTTAGCTGAATAATACTTTTTGCGGAGATGCTACATGGACAATTCTTCTTTGTTCTTATGATTATTCCGTTCAAAGCTTTCTGAATCCTTTGCATTAGCATTTTTATGCCCCTACTACAATTGCATTACAACCCTCCCACCCCCGAATGACGCAATTGTTCTTGTCATTATCAGATGATTGCTACAAGTTAACATAATAGTGGATAATGCATTATCATATAATTGTTACATATTTCTGAAAAATGTTGTTGTGAATGCTGTTCAGTATTGTTTCTCTTTGGCAGTCTGAATTTTTAAAGCTTCAGAGAAACACCAGACGATGCATTTAAGGCAGTATTTGAAAAGGAATATCCTGGTCGAGTTAGATGCTATGGTAGATCGGTGACGACAAGCTCTCTGAAAAAAGACGAGGAAATCAACAAGCTTAAACAGAATCATGCCAATGAAATTATTTCTATGAAGGAATAATTGAAAGAAATGAGGAGAGAAGAAAATGCAATTTTTTTAGTCAATTGATACAAAACAATTCTGGATTTAATATTTAAAATATACCAGGGTGTGCCGGATCTAACCTTCATTCACCTGTTGATGCAAGTAGTGCACGGAATGTGAGAGCGCAAAATCTTCCCCACTCTTCTGGCTCAAATCATGCGCTGAGTCTTGAAAAGGTATTTGTATTCCTCAACCCCAAAATAAACAATTCAGCTTAACTTATACGAATATACTTTTCTAAAATATTTGCTTTCGGAATATTAAAACATTTCAAAGTGTGCTTGATTCTCAATTTTTCTTAGTCTGGGGTTGTTTTTCTTGTTGTTCACCTACTTCTATTTTTTAGAGTTTAATTTATTTGATACTTTAGGCAACACTTTGTAGGGGCGGCTAAAGACCTAAAATGTTGTAGTGAGTACCTTCCTAAATTATTAAAGAACTTGATTCTTTACCTTACTCCTTAGACGTAAACGATATAAACAATAAATAGCCTCTCTACATTTTCAAGGTATGGGCAAGGCTTGCATACACATTATCCTTCCTAGACCCTACTTGTGGGATTCTGCTAGGTTTGTTATTATTGTTGTTGTTGATATGGAATAAAGCTTGACAAGGAAATGTGTTCATGTGAAATAGAGATCAAATCTTTTCTAAAGGATGTTCTGGGGACTGGAAAAGATTAGCCTCGAGCAAAAGAATACAATTACATGGGATCTGCAATGAAGAGTGTAAAGGCTTTGCCATTTACAAGGTACTAGAAGCATGCTCTTGTGGAGCTTCGTAGTTTCATGAAAGTTCTAGTATATAAAATTGCTAGTTTATTCTTTATTTGTTGTTTGATATTTACTTGTTAAGGTGATGGTTCTTATTCATAGGACACTCTAGTTTGCAGTAAATTTAGAACTTTTTTTTCAGTTTTGACTATGGTATTATTGACACCAAAGCAATAGATTATCAGATCTAATTTTGTTAAACTTTTTCCTAATGCTTAACTAGCATAATCATTGCCAAGTATTTTTATTGTTTACTTTTGAAATGATATCGCTATTAATGAAGTTATCTCAATTTTCCAGTTTAAATGCTTGCTATCACAATAATGTTCTGCTCATTGTGATGTGCTTAATTCTATTTTGTGTTTGTTTTCTAAGGTGTCAATCTTTGGTTATTTCGGTTCAATGCCAACCATCTGAATCATTTCTGGCTTCAATTGCACTTCTTTTCTTATTATGACAATCACTTTAAATTGTTATGGATGCATAGTTTACCTAGTTGGCACCGTTCCTTCAATCCTTTTCCTAGGAATAAATCTTGCAGCTTCATGCTAAAGATTTGCAGCTTATTAGCAGCACATGGCAGTTTGATCCAACTAGATATCATTACTTAATTAATATTTCAGCTTGGCTTTTCTAAATTTATTGTGTATGCACATCAACTATGAGACTTTTTTGATCGCGTAACCATGTCTTTAATTTATTTAATGCTTTCATTTATTTGAACCCCTCCAACTTTATAGTACTCATATGATATTATCTATTTTGAGCTGACATAGAAATACAATTTTTTCACATTATTAGCATGCTATACAAACAGTGCATCTTTGTTTGTCTCAAATTGCAGTCTCGGAAGGCAAAAGCTATTGAAGAGAACAAAGAAAATACAAATGGGGAACTTAAGGTACAGAAACCTTCAGAAGTTTCTGCTCGTCTGAACAAGAAAAACTCACATGCTGCATAGATAAATGGGGAGATCAAGCTTACAAAATGAGTTACATAATCAAAAGATGATGTGAAGGGTGTAAAACCCACCATGTATCAGAAAAGAAACCTGTAGCTAAGGGCAACAATGTTTTTTTTAGTAGATGCTAGTTTCAATTGTTTAATGCGTTTAAAACATTTTCATGATACATACATTCAATTTGTTAAGTTCATTGCTAGGACGCAAGGTTGAGCAATTTGCTTTATAGTTAATGTAGTACATGATATATCTATATACTTTGGAAGGTCATAGCAAGTGTACTCCTTTGAATTTTTTTGGTTATTTGTTAGTTGATGTAGTGCTTGAGAATTCCATACTCTAGCAATGATCTTAAAATATATGATAATAATATATGTGTGGTAATAAATGTGATTATTAGATATATCTAAAAGTTATAATTTTATAACAAAGGCAACACTTTAAAAGTGTGTCATATAAGGTATCAATGGCACGCTTTATAAGTGTTGCTGTAGGACATGCAAAGTGTTGCTAGAAGGGTATATACGAATCGTGACCTTTGTATCTTATAGGCCACACTTTTGAAGCGTAGCTTCTAAAAGCGTGGCCTTAGAGAAAAGGTTACGCTAGTTTAGGCCACCCCTTAAAAAGCGTTGCCTAAAGTCAAAAAGTGTGGCCTTTGATCAAATGCCACACTTTTTGATATTTTAGGCCACACTTTTTTAGGGTGGCTAAAGGCCTAAAATGTTGTAGTGGATGTGTATGAAGCACACCTCCTTCATCTTATCAATGATTATTCCAGGCATGTGCATGCCTGGGAATAATATAGATAAATAAAATATCCATATTTCACATCAGAACATAAGGAATGAAACCAAAGACATAGTCCGCTTGGCTATGTGCTAACCTTTACATAGCCTACGTGGTTTGTTAAAGCAAGCTTAATCGAATTACATTAGTGATGTTGTTTATAGAGCATTGCATTTGCTGTCTTTAACTCTTTTTTTGGCTTTCGTCGCTCGGTATACTTTTTTACTATGTTGGAAAATGATGAAATTTGAAAAACACTTCAACATGTCAGATTCGTTTTGATGTTTTTTTTTTTTTTTTTTTTTTGCATTTTGGCTTTAATCACCACTGATTTAAATTGATCTTTCTTGGCATAAATTTAAACTAGAATATGTACCCGTACGATGTGCGGAGAGAGATAATAAAAATATGTGAATATTACAGATTAAATTTATCGACCGCAATCAAAACAATTAAAACAAAAAACAAAGAGAAGAATTTGATCGGGTAGTCTCTATAATTCTTTTTGGCCAGCCACCAAATCTATTTATTCACGTGACTTTTCATTTTATCCCTTATATGCTATCTATATATTCAAAGAAAAAAACCCTTAATTAAATAGTTAAATTATATCAATGCATTCGAACTTGATTATAAGAATAAAAATTCAAAATTAACACCTATTGTCTAATAAACTTTCAAAAGGCTACGATTAGTATGAGATTTTTAACATGGAATTTTCTTAACTGATACGTTCACAACCATTCCATGTTCATGTTGCTTCAACATACTCTGCACCATCATATAACACTGACAAGATTGCTGCTTCCTCAAATGAAATATGAAAAGTAAATATAAAATATAGCGGTATCTGTTACCCCTTTTGGTTTAGGAAATGGGGGGGGGGGGGGGGGGGTGTTGGTTAAAATCGCTTTCATGTTGTTGTTTAAGAATAGCTCAAGAAAAGAATATCTGTAAATCTTTTCTAACAGTTGCAATTTCTACAGGTTTTCTAGGTAGGTAAACATGAGAGACGGGTGAGGAGCGGAGTCACAAAGCTACCTATTTTTGAAAATGCACTGGCTAGATTTAGTTGTACTTAGTTTCCACATAAATATACACAGTGAAATTAATTTGACAATACTACTTTATGTTATTCCGTATAAGTTAAATTACAAAAAAAAATTTCGTTTCCAAATTCAAGGAAGCGCAGAGTAACTTCTTGCCAAATTGCCTTCCTCTCCATGTTCTGTTCTGGCTCCCTCCTGGTCATATGCCGCTGACAAGATTGTTGCTTCCTCAAATGAAATATTTTTTGGCTTCCTTGCCACCAATTCCTCCTCAACTACTATAAATTCTGTAAATGCCCCCATCTGCTTTATTTTATCAATAGTAAAATATTGAGTACTCCCATATACATCATAACATATTCCAAGTCTTGATACAAAATCTCCTATTTCCATCGCAGTGTACTTGGTGTCATGACCAACTTAGAGTATCTCAACTCTAAGTTGTTTTTACAAAATAGGGTCCTATCAAGTAATGACAACTGCTAAGTACAAATTATATATGTTTAAGCTACAAAGTTTATCGTAACTGCTTTTCTGTTTCAATTATTTTCTGTTTCATATATGCTCCGACTATTAAACAAGTACTTTTTGTGTTGCTTACCTGAAATTTCCATCTTGTGTATTTCAATTGTTCGCTTCTACAACAAGCATGTAATCTTCGTTATCACATTCTTCCCTAAAGATATGTAACCTTCTAATTTATAACATGTTTATTTGTTTGCAGATATTTTTGGCCAAGAACTAATAGAAAAAGGACTAGAAAGAAGGCCAAAGACCGCATATGTAAATAGTTGTATCATACATGTTGTAACTGTTTTGGCACTTTAAGCATCCTTAATGTGATGCTCTTCGTGGACGCAAATAATGTATATTTTGTTCAAAATATATGTAAATTAAGTCTGTACCACTTAGCATAAAATATTGTCTACTAGATTCCATACTTACATCATTAAGAACCAAATTGAATAGAAAATCTATGTTACCCGTACAACATAGATTTACAACATGAATTATAGTCCCCTAGGGGATTATTCCAAAACGGGATTATCCCTGTTTGGTAGCGATAACTACTGGCAGTTGTATTAATAAGAATCGAAAATTTTCGAGTTAGGGTTTTGATGGATGAAATTGGGGGAATATTTTTTTTTGTTGGTAGTGTTGTAGAATGATTAGGAGAAAAGAGAACAAATTCTGGGAAAAAATTAAAAGAAGAAATCGTTTGGAGAAGTTAATTATTTTTGAAACTTCAACTAATTACTGGTCCTTTTTATAGATGGCAATCTCAACGCTTACATTTGTTGAGACGAACACGGAAAATTACATGTGTTTTCGTCTGTTATATGTATGAGATATAACTGCTATATACGATTTGTTCTAGTGGAGTATACTATACTATTTCACCTTTCTCTTTTTCCTTTTTAGTTCTCTAGCTTTGTTCAACTACTAAATATTTGAAATATCAGTAACAAGACTTACAGTATAAGTACACATAATAAAAACTTAAAATATTATATTATATTACTATAAAAAAAAGTTGAAGTTAAGTGGGTCAACTGCCTTGAAATGAAAGAGCAACGAGTATTTAAAAACCAAATAGTCAAGGTTAATCAAATTCAAATAGAGAGAACTCAATTTATGAAGTTGTTATCCACACAGAAAGTTCCAGTAAAGCATGAGAATCATGTGAATATTAAGCAATAACTCTACAGTGAGCTACTGTTTATTCTTTTAAACATAATTAAGTAGTATTTCTTATCTTTTCTCTCTCCTTATTTTGAAGCTTCACCCTTTTTGTATTGTTCCTTATTTTGAGTTTTCTAGGTTGGTGAAGAGTGGGGTAAGTTAGGCAGATTGTTTGTGAAGAAAGTAGAGCAACATTTGCCTATTGCGTGTTTCAAAAGAGTAATAATAAAAAGTACTCATTCTGGAATAACAACAAAAAGAGATCATAATAAAGAGGCCATAAAATTGAAATTAGGACGCTAAACTTGAATTTTCCTTTATTTCAAAAAACATTGCTAATAAACAGAAAAGAAAAAAAAAGAATTCTTTATATTCCTATCAAGGACTCAATCTTTATAAATGAAAATAATGCACAGTTCTGGATCATAACTGCTATAGAAATATGAGATTTAACTTTGTCATCCGGAAATAAGTATAGATCTTTGATGTATTCAGAATAGCAAGAATCATGCCATAAGCTTAAGAAACTTTTTAATAAACAGATACATGTGGATGACATTTTCATGTGGCTATATGCAAGACTGTGTTGCCCTTCGTGTCGCGCTCAATGAATATTGAGTTGTCACTATTCAGTATTTCCTCCTCGACCAAAGAAGTATCTTGACCAATAGTCATATGAAGAGCAGTTAGATATTTTTTATCTTTATGGATATTGTATCTGGATCTTGCTCCTTTAGTGCATTTACAATATGTAAGCAAATACTTGGCAGTTGTGTTTAATGCAGTCTTTCCATTCTTCCTAACAATATTGTGTACTGATAGTATAACGGAGGACAATAACTTCAAATCCTAACTACTGCCAGTGACCCCAATTTACTTTTATCTAATCCAATTATGAGACATAACAGGTTGTTTCTAATATGTTAATAACCAAAGTGATTCTGTAGATTTAGTGTGGATTGGGTCCGCGGCCGGAACTCCGTTGGGATCGACAGGAGGCACCTCGTTACCCGTACCATGTTGTTGTTCTTTCCATGATGATCGGACTCAACATCCATGTTTAGAGGGCCAGATAAGGAGTTCGGCATTTTAAAGTTTGACCTAAAATTAAAGACATTTCAAAGAACAAGTGAAAAATAGGGTGTGTTATGGGAATTTGTATCCAATTGCCACTATTATCCTTAGCCCCATGGTGGGGGCCAAACTGTTTACCCTAATATAATAATTGAATTTGTAAGTGGTTTTAAGTATACGGGGATTAACTTGATACAAAAGGTAAAATGCGTCGAATTAAGCAGATAAACATATATTAAATTATCAAACCACTTAAGGAGAGTGATTATGAAATATCCGCCCTTGGTCAGGACTCACAGTAATTAAACACTAATGAACAAGAATAAGAACTTTAAATAACAAAGAAAATAACAATATATTGTCTTGGTATGCGTGCGTTACAATATGGCCTATGAATAATCAAACCCCTTCCCCTTTATATAGTAGAGGAATCCTACTCTAGGTAAAATTTCATTAAAGGTAAAAACCTTCCGTTTAACTAATCACTGGATTTCCGCCGGTAAGTGCCGAGATCCACGCCGTGATACTTGGTTGGTCACAGAAATTACGGCCTTCCGTTAATCGTGTTTAGCTTTCTAAATGGTCATTATTTTAATTACATAAAATATAATCATTTCATAGAGAGTAATCCACAACTTATGAAATAAAATTATAATCTTGTAATAGATGCCAACTACATTACGAAATGGTAGTTTACTACAATGCTCA